TCGGATTAGCTTTGGAGACTCGAGGTACACGACCTTGAAGTCCCCTTCCACTTTCCCTCGATTTACTATTCTTTTCATTCGAGACAGTTGTACTTATTTCAAACCCTGTTTGTAGAAACTCTAGAAGCTCGTGTACTTGTGACTCTAGATCCGGGTTGTATTGAATTTTAGTTTATTACAACATTTTGTATTTTATTATGAATTTCATTTCTGTTTAATTGGTTAAATTATTCAAAGTGATTAAAAAGCTTACATAGCAAGTGAAATATTAGGTGCCATCACGATCCCGAAGGTGGAAATTCTGGATCGTGACATTATGTGATCAAGTTTGGAGAAGCCTTGATATCATGGAAATCAAAGAAGCAAGGAACAGCCTCCAGAAGCTTAGCTGAAGCAGAATTCAGAAGCATGGCCACAACAGTAGCCGAAATTACATGGCTAACAGGATTGTTCAGAGAACTTAGCATTGAGGTTGAGGTTCCAATACAACTTTTTTGTGATAGCAAAGCTTCTATTCAAATTGCAGCTCATCCCATCTTTTATGAGACAAAACACATTGACATAGGCTATCATTTTTTGAGGGAGAAAATTCAGGAAGGTCTGATCCAAACACAACATATTGGAACCAAAGAACAACTTGCAGATGTGCTGACAAAGAGCCTGTATAGTCCAGGACATGAAAACTTAGTGAGCAAGCTGGGAATGAAGAACCTATTTTCATTTCTCAACTNGTGTAGAGAAATCTAGATGTGTGGGTGTACAACTATCAATGAGCTATAATTAAGTTAAGTAAAGTCGCTGGTCAGTTGTATAAGTAGCAGTTAGTTAGTTATAGATATTTTATAGATTTCATTTCTTACTGATCATCTAATGGAATCAGTTTGGAGCTTCTCTTCTCTTCTCTCTAACTACATCTGTGCATGCTCTCGTCAATGTGACGACCCGTCCAGTCATCTCATGAGTTACCGCTCTGTTTTCCCAATTTCTACTTCTTTATGCCTCGTTATCCGCATTAATGTGATCGAGTTGATTAGTTTGCGTTCAGGGTGGATTTGGTAAGAAATGAGACACTTAGTCTCTTTTAAGAAGGTTTAAGTTGGAAAAGTCAACCGGATATTGACTTATGTGTTAGAGGGCTCGGATATGAGTTCCGATAGTTCAGTTAGCTTCGGGAGGTGATTTATGACTTAGGAGTGTGATCGGAATTAGTTTTGGAGGTCCGGTGTAGAATTAGGCTTGAATTGACGAAGTTAGTATTTTGGCGATTTCCGGTTGATCGGCGAGATTTTGATCCGAGGGTCAGAATAGAATTCCGAGAGTTGCTATAGCTGTTTTATATCATTTGTGATATGTGTGCAAAATTTCAGGTCATTCGGACGTGGTTTGGTCAGATTTTTTATCGAAAGCATATTTCGGAAGTTTTTAGAAAACTTAGGCTTGAATTCAATGTGAATTGATGGATTTGGTGTTGTTTGAGGTGTTTTGATGATTGGAACAAGTTTGAATGAGGTTTTAGGATGTGTTGGTGCCTTTGGTTGAGGTCCTGGGGGCCTCGGGTGAGTTTCGGGTGGTCAATCGGACCATTTTCTAAGTTGAAAAGTTGCAGATTTTGGGAGTTCAGGTGTTGCAAAAAATAACCCTTCGCGTTCGCGAGGTGTATGTCGTGTTCGCGTAGAAGGGATTTGGGAGGCAGGAATTAAGCCTTCGCATTCGCATTTGAAGCCTCGCGTTTGCGGAAGGCTAAGAGTTGGTGCTTCGCGTTCGCGTATAAGGAAATAGGGTCCAAGAGCAATTGTTCTTCGCGTTTGTATGTGAGGGAACGCGTTCGCATAAGTCTAAATCCTGAAGCATCGCGTTCGCGGAGGGTGAGTCACGTTCGCATAAGCTTAATTTTTGTTAATTTAAAAATGTGCTTCGCGTTCACGAGGCTGAGGTCGCGAACGCGATGAAGAGATATCAGAACTGGGCAGAAAGTTTATAAGTTATTTCATCCGCGATTTTGAGTTATTTTCCTCCATAGTTGAGTATTTTGAGAGCTTTTTGAAGGTTATTAAAGAGGGATTCAAGGAGAATTGATTGGAGGTAAGATTTTTGAACCTAAAGCATGATTCTGTTGTGAAATTAACCTAGAAATTCATGGAATTTAAGCTAAAAATGGAAGAACTAGGGCTTGAGATTTTTGAACTTTTGAATTGGGATTTGAAGGACCATTTGAGGTCGGATTGGAGAACTTTTGATACATGGGGTGATAAGGAATCTAATAAGGTGAAATTTTTTGAGTTTCGAGAAGTGGGCCCGGGGCTCGGGTTTTGCTAATTTCGGGATTTTTGATATTTTTCGATTGTTTTCGCTTGGACTTTGCTCCCTTAGAATATTGTGACATATTCGTTCTGCTTTTGGATAGATTCGACGCGCGTGGAGGCCGATTTGAGGGTCAAAGGCGTCGCGAGCTAGAGTTGTAGCCGGTTCGAGGTGAGTAATGATTGTAAATGATGTCCTGAAGGTTTGAAACCCCGGATTTGCACATCGTAGTGCTATATTGAGGTGAGACACGTGCTTGATGAGGAGCGTGGGGTCGTTTACTACTGGGGATTGTGACTTGGTCCATCCCGATTGATGATTTTACCGAGTATTTGACTGAAACTTATTTGTTATCATCATGTTTTGGGCTGATTGTCGTATTTGGGCTTCGTGCCAACTATTTGGACCCTTCGGGGATTTTTATCACTATTTCCTCACTGTATTGATTTATCACTTGAACTCAGTTTGGTTGGTATTTACTGTTTTACAACTCAACCACTTTTACTCATATTTGAAACTTAAATGATATTTCTAAAAGATGTTTTGGGCTGAGAACTATTGTTTTACTAATGCCCGAGGGGCTTGTGATGATTTACGGACTGAGTGAGGCCGGGAGCCATATGTGAGGATATGCTGAGTGATATGAGGCCGAGGGCCTGAGATACTTTATATGCCACGAGGTGGCTTGAGTGATGTGAGGTCGAGTGCCGAGCGATGTAAGGCCGAGTGTTGAGTGATGATGCCACGAGGTGGCTTGATATAGCGCTTGGGCCGTAAGGGGCCCCTCCGGAGTCTACACACCCACAGTGAGCGCGAGTACCCATTATGATCTGAGAGTGAGCCCGAGGGGATGATGTTGTACTGAGAGTGAGTCCGAGAGGCTGATACTGTTCTGAGTGATTGATACTGTGCCTGAGGGGCGGATTTTTACTTGTCATTTACCTGTTAAATTACCTGTTTTACTTGTCTTAAAAGGGATTTTATTTGATTTCTTCACTGATTTACTGCTTTAAGTGGTTTTACTACTTGATATGGAATTGCTTTGTGCCTTTACATATTTTCATACTTTTAGCCATTGTTTAAAATTATTACTTACTGAGTCGGAGTACTCACATTACTCCATGCACCATGTGTGCAGATTCAGGCATCGCAGAGTCCGCTCCTGAGTGTTGATCCTCCCAGTCCAGGTAGTGATTCGGAGACTACGAGGTAGCTTTTGGCGTCCGCAGCCCCGTGCCTCCCTTATCTTATATTTTTCATGTTCTTAGAACTAATGTATCGGAATTGGTGTTCAATAGACTTGTATCCGAATTTCTTAGTTGCTCATGACTTGTGACACCCCGGTTTGGGATGTGTCGGGATGGTTTCTACTGTTGTTATCATTAAATTCCGCAATTTATGTATATTATATCATGTTTTATTACTGTTTATGATAATTAACTATTTAAAAGAGGTGTTCCGTTTTGGTCTGGCTGGCCTTGTCTTCACGAGATGCGCCATCACGATCGGGTTCGGGGTTAGGGTCGTGACAGTCAAACTCCATAGCTGGGCTCTTCAACAAATACTTAGTCAAACAGTAAAATCTTATATTCTGGATCATCTCTGTTATTTCTTGAAACTTCTCTTTCATTAGTTGAACTGCGGAAAATATAGATGATATTATACTAGCTTTGAGTGCCTGTTAGCATAATATGTTCTGGTTTCTTTTTAGAGGCTTAGTCCTCCGGATTTTGGCACGTGTTTGTTAGGCTTTTCTTATCATATTTCATTTTTCTATCTTAAGGAAAGATAATATATTTGCCATAATTAATTTTACTTTTTACGAAAAGATTTATTTTTATTTTTTATATTTGACTTGTCTTTTTTCATAGAGGAAAAGATTTTGATTTTTATAAATTAAGGATAAGTAGCATGCACAATGTAGTATTGAGAGTCTTGTTTAGGGGAAAATTTGTGAAAGAAGTGTTAGCCTACCACTTGTGTGTACTTTTTTATGATATTGTTCTCTTAATATTTTGTACCCTCTTTTATACAGTGAATGAATTACTCATCTCCGCATATGAACGTAGGTCAATTGATAAAATCATGTTAAATGTTTGTCTCTTTTGGTATATTTTCTTTGGTTGTATGATTTATCGCTGTTTAAGATTTGTTGTACTAGCTTCCGCATGACACCACTATAAGAATGTATTTTTTAGCTTGATTCTTGAACCAATCTTTAATATTGTGTGACGGAATTTTGTAGCTAACTTATGTTCTCTTGTGTTATGAAACTCTAAAACTCAAATATTTTCGTGAGAATTGTTATATATTGCCTACATTATAGCTTTGGACATTTGATCTTTATCCTTGAACCTTTTCAGTTGATAAAAATGAATTGTGAAATAAACAGTAGGTAATATAGACAATGCAACCTTTATCAGAAAATATAGAATTTACAAAGAAGGTAAATAACGAATGATTTAAAACAAGGGAATTTCATGAATAATAAATCCTCTATTGCCATGAGCCATGTGGCATGCCTTCAATTCTTGATTGCCACTAAAAGCATTGCTGGGCTAAACCAACCAATATTATATGCTTTAGGTCAAGCTTGTATGATTTTTCTTAAAATGCCTTACACCATTAAGAGATTTCTATAGTAAGCTTCTAATTTTTTCAGCTACGATTTTGTTAACACAGCCAACAAATACTGTATATTAACCAATGTGGTGGCAGAAGGTGATGCCATCACCGACGGAAAGTTGGCAGATTTCGATTCTCGGATCAGCAACCAATGCCTTGTTGGGTTCTAATAAAAAATCCCTATAATACCTAACATATTTCCTAAGGGGTACATAAGAAGGTGCTACAACTGATCCATTCCAAAGGGTGTTGTTATATCCAATTAGTCCACCAATCTTGACCAAGTCAATCAATATCTTGTGATAATTCAAGTAGTTTTCTTTACCAGCATCCACAAATATGAAATCATATGTTTCATGGTATTTGCCCTGTTAATTATTGCCACCATTGTTTCATACAAATTAATATTGATGTCTTAAAATAGAGAAATAGTAATCAAGCATATAAGTTAATGATGTTTAATTTATTCAGGGGACTTTAGGTACTTATGTCTTCAAGCATTTGGTCAAGAACGGGAAGTGCATGACCTTCTTTGAATTCAATCTTGTGAGCTAGTCCAACTTTTTCAATTACTGGAAGACCAATCTCATAGTTTTCTCGATTGATATTCATGGCTAGAATCTGAATCAATTTAGCAAATTAACGCAAATCTATTAAGTTCAATTAAAAAAGACAGTCTAGTGCACAAAGCATTCCGCATTCACGCAGGGTCCGGGGAAGGTTCGCACCCTTTAGGGTGTGATGTAGATAGCCTACTCTAATGCAAGCATTAGTGGCAGCTTCCGCAGCTCGAACCACGACCTATAAGTCATATGGAGAAAATTTTACCGTTGCTCCAAGGATCCCCTTCAGACTGCAATCAATTAGTTGGTAAAAATTATAATTATCTTGCCATCATCGGGAAGAGCCATAGTAGTAGCAAGCAAATAGTAACCAATAAAAACACCAATTTCCATAGTATTCTTGGCATTGATGAGTTTGAGAAGCATGCTCAAGAATTGGCCTTCATCAGCAGAGGTGGTCATGATATTCCTGTTTTTTCCAAAATGAATATTTTCATACTTAACTCCAACTAGAAAATTACCACATTTAAGTATTCAATTTGGTTGAACCAAAAGTTAAAAGGAAATTAGGAGAATGTTAATTACCAAGGGTGTTTTGCAGTAATCTCTCTTAGCTCTTTCATGGGTTCAGGCTCTTTTGGATAGACGCTTGTGTCAAGAATGTACTGTTGAAACACAATTCAAACAATTAAAAAAACTCAATATCTTAAAAAAGATTTTTTTTTGAAGGGAGCCTTATCATAACTGGTAAATTTAGTACCATATGACCAGGAGATCACGGGTTCGAGCCGTGAAAATATCCTCTTGTAGAAGAAATGCAGGGTAAGTATTAATAAGTTTCTTTAGGACTGCAATATTTATGTTATTTTCCTGCAGTTTGTATTTTTAGTTTTATTAGGAGTTAGTTATCATGGTTAGTTCCATGACTTAAAAGTATGGTCATGATCTATTTCAGTTTTTTTTAGGATATGTTTTAAGAACTTATCTTTCTACAGAATTAACTGAACTCTTTGTAAGAGCTCAACAGATTCTTGGTTAATTGATATTGGTTGCACTAGCCACATGACTCATGACAGGAGCCCATTCAAGGAGTTGAAGCCCACTGAAATATCCAAAGTTAGGATAGGTGTTGGCCCAAGTAAATGTGAAGTTTTGAAGACTGACAAAAGAACTCAGACATGGACCAGGTCAATCTTGTGAAGCACAGTCGTGATCAACCCAAACATGTGAGATGCACGTAAAGGAGATAAATCTAACTTATCAGAAGTAATATCTCCTGATCATGATAAAAAAAGTTGCATATTCGATAAGGAGAAAGACCCCCTTACACAAAGAGAACACAGTTTAGGAAGATGATAGAGTTAGAGTATGAGATCAACTAGAACTCTTCCACCATGGAAGAGTAACATCTGTATCCTATTCAATCTCTAATTACTAACCCCTTAACTATCACTGTTATTCTCTTTTATAGGTAATGCACATAAACAGAAGTTAAATGTTAATTGAGAGCAAAATAGCAATGCAGTTTTGCAAGCAATTTATGTGTGATTCAGCGTGCAATCCTGAAGCTACTTGAACCAGATAGAAGAACCAGTCCAAGCATCTATATTTTATTCTAGTTCAATTGTAGTATGTGATTTTACATTGTACCTTTCAGCTTATTTAGAAGCAATTGCATTAGGGACTTAGAGTTTTCAAGTTAGAGTTAACTTGAAGTTGTCGCAACAGTTGAGGCTGTGTGCTACAACGGGATTAGAGTTAATCCTAGGTTTACAAAAGAGTTTTTGTAAATGCAGTTTTTGGCTCAGTGATTTTTGTGGAGAGTTTGGAAAAATCCTACTGGAAGGTAGGTCGTGGTTTTTTCACCTTTTGAGCCAGGTGTTTTTCACGTAAAATCTCTGTTTTCTTTATTTTCTGTACTATTATTCTGCAACAGTAGTAGTTGGAACACATAGAAAAACCAAGTCCTTCCATAATCAGTTTAAGCGAAAAATTGGTCACCACACAAATCACCCTTTCTTGTGTGGTATTGAAGTATTAAACATCAATTAGTATCAGAGCTGATTATCCTTGAAGAGGCTAACACCTTAGGAACAGATCAAGATGAGTGCACCACCTGGAAACTAGGAAGGGCAATCCACTGCTAGGCCTCCACTCTTTAATGGCCAGTACTATTCCTGGTGGAAGAACAGGATGAGATACCACATCATAGTAGACGACTATGAACTCTGGAACATAGTTACTGATGGTCCTCTGGCTACTACAAAGAAGAATGCTGAAGGAGTGGACGTGCCAAAGACAAGAGCTGACTGTACTGCTGAAGATTTGAAGAAATGGGAAAAGAATGGCAAGACCAAGAAATGGCTTGTGTGTGAACTAGGTCCAGATGAATACAACAGGATTCAAAGTTGTACCACTGGTAAAGATATATGGGACACCCTAAAAGTGGCCCATGAAGGAACTCATCAAGTAAAGAGATCAAGAGGAACACTTCTATATTCTCAATATGAGAATTTCACCATGAAGGAAGGAGAAACCATCCAAGAGATGTACACAAGGTTCACAACACTAACAAATGAACTTAAGTCTCTTGGAAGAATTATCCTTGAAGAAGACAAGGTTGAGAAAATCTTGACAAGGGTCTTGCCAGTAACTTAGGATAGCAAAATCACGGCTATTCAGGAATCAAAGTACATTGCTACCCTCAGGTTAGATGAGCTGATTGGAAATCTCACTGCCTATGAACTGAGAAGGCAAACTATGAAGATGGATGCACCCAAGAAGGAAAGAAGCCTGGCTTTTAGAATAGCTGAAGGTGCAGACTTAGAGGATGATGAAATGGCTGTGGTCACAAGGGATTTCAAGAAGTACCTAATGAGAAGAAAGGGTTCTTCAAGAGGTGCAACCTTCAACAAACCAAGGGCTCCTGAAAAACAAACCTACGAGGGCTGCTACAAATGTGGTAAGACTGACCACATGATAAAAAATTGTCCCCAGTGGGAAATTTAATGGAAGAAGGAAAGGCTGAACAAAGAAATAGGAAGAAGGAACAGGTTCAACCCAAAAGGAACAAAGGATCAACAAAGGCTATGGTTGCTGCTTGGGGAGAAACCTCAGATGAGGATTTAGAAGACGAAGCTGGAGATGAACAAGCACATATGGCCATTGGAGAATCAGATGATGAACAAGAGGTACGTGTTATTCATCTCAAAGATAAGATTAATTTTTTGTCTAAAGAAAGGCTATCTAAATTGCTTCTAGACTTCATTGATGAGTCTGAGGACATAAACAAAGAGAAGGAACAACTGTCTAGGGAATGTGTGATCCTAAAAGCCAAGTGCAAAAATTTGGAATTTAGGGCTAGTGAAAGTGATAGTAAAAATGCTAAGTTGAAGAACTAGGTTCTTGAACTTGACACCAGTGTCTTAGAACTTAGGTCTAAAAATTTAAAACTAAAATTAGAAACAGGTAAGAAGAAAGCTGATCACACACATCTCATCTTAGAAGAAAATCTAGGAAAATGAAGGATGAGTTGTACAGGAAAAATGAGCAGATAAGAGTCCTAAAAGAAGATCTAGGCATGGTGAAGCATGGACNGGCAAGGTGAAGCATGAACTAGATAGAACTTGCAAATGGAATAAGTCCTCTGATGCACTATCCTGGCTACAAGAGCACCACAGTATCAACAAGAGAGGACTTGGCTATGGGACCCCAATACCTAAGTGGGATCCCAAAAGCAAATACATCACACTTCCTAAAAACAAAATCTGTACACACTGTGGTATGACTGGTCATTACAAAAGTGAATGTATTGCAAAAGAAAAGGCCAGTCAAAAGAACAAAACCTTTGTTCAAGAGAAAAAATAGGCTACCTAGAGTGGCCAAAAGGAATTTAATTCACCCCTTTGCCTATAGAAAGGGACCCAAACTAGTTTGGATTCCTAAGACTAATCCCTGATTTCGTTTTGTAGGTCCGAGTGAAGGGAAGTAGCCAAATATGGTACATGGATAGTGGCTTCTCAAAGCATATGACTGGAAGTAAGAACCAGTTCTTTTCACTTGAGGATCTAAAAGGAGGTAATGTCTCCTTTAGAAATAAGAAGAAAGGTGAGATCATTGGGGTTGGAAAGGTAGGTAAGACAGACTCACATTCCATTGAGAATGTCTACTTGATAGATGGCTTGAAATATAGCCTAATCAGTGTATCACAACTGTATGACAGAGGTAACCTGGTAGCATTCACCTCTACCAAATGTTTTATGATTAATCTTACCACTGACAAGATTGTTTTGCAGGGAAAAAGAGTTAACAATATTTACATTGTAGATATGTCCACTTTTTCAGAAAATGAACTCACTTGCTTGAGTGTGTTGGACAATGATCCCCTCATGTGGCACAAAAGACTTGGTCATGCAAGTCTGAATCAACTCAACAAATTAGTCTCCAAGGACCTGGTAATATGGTTACCTAATATCAAGTTCAAGGAAGACAAAGTTTGTGAGGCCTGTACAAGGGGGAAGCAGGTAAGATCATCTTTTAAAAGCAATGAAAATGGTAAGCACAACTAGGATGATGGAACTAGTTCATATGGATCTCTGTGGTCCAATGAGAACATTGAGCAGAGGTGGTAAGAAATATGTGCTGGTACTTGTTGATGATTACTTTAGGTTTACTTGAGTATTGTTTTTAACATCTAAGGATGATGTATTTGACATGTTTACTGCCTTTGTTAGAAAAACTCTGAAACAACTAGGTTATCAACTTGCAACAGTTAGGTCTGATCATGGAACTGAATTTGAAAATGCTAAGTTTGCTGAATTTTGTGATGAGCATGGTATAGATCATAATTTCTCTGCCCCTAGGACACCTCAAAAAAATGGAGTAGTTGAAAGAAAGAATAGGACTCTTGAAGATATGACTAAGACTATGCTTCTTTCTAGTAAACTGCCCCATAGCTTCTGGGCAGAGGCTGTAAATACTGCATGTTACATCACTAATAGATACATGACTAGACCTCTTGTAGAGAAGACTCCCTATGAGTTACTTAAATGGAGAAAACCAAACATATCCCATCTTAGGGCATTTGAATGCAAGTGCTTTGTGCACAATAATAGAAAGGACTCCCTAGGTAAGTTTGATCCTAGAAGTAATGAGAGAGTATTCTTGGGATATTCTTCACATAGCAAAGCTTATAAAGTGTACAAAAAAAGAAATTTATGTGTAGAAGAAAGTGTATATGTAGTTATTGATGAAACTAACATTCTCTTTAAGAGACAGGAACATGAAGCTGAAGCTATTGGGCTGGTAAAAGAATTCAGTGAAGTCATAGCTCAAGTTGAAGATGCACCAAAAGAAGAAATATGTGATGGAACAGGTTCCTCCATCCAGGGCAACTTGACAGGGGGAACTGAACAAAGAAGAACTGAAACCAATCCCCTAATGGAACCTGTACACGAGCCTGTTCCTCAACAACAGAACATGGGTGAAACATCAAACAGACACTAGTTGGTTGTGAAACCTTACAAGTATCAAAGTTCTCATTCCATTGAGAACATAATTACCGATCTAACATCTGGAGTTAAAACTATATCACAATTAAAGAATCTATGCGCTTTTGATGCTTTCTTATCTCTTATTGAACCTAAAAATGTTGCTGAGGCTTTGT